GGTATATATAAGATGGTCACAACGTGAGGGACAGTGTGTAGGTAGTGAGTAATTGAACTGCAGTCAGAAAGTATTGTTCAAGTTCAGCACGTTCGTTGTTATAGCGTTTGTTATAGCGCGACTGTTGAAATTAAGTGTATCGTAAAGTTGTATTCGGAAAGAATAAACCAGTTTTATTAAGAAAGGACTTGTGTCGCTAAAGTTTCGTCGGAACGAATTTACGGAAAATTAACTAACGACTGGAGGCGTAACAATGTAAACTATTAATAGTGTACCTGAAACTATACTGTTTTCTGTTGTAGGTCCAGAGATGTATTTATGATGTAATGTATATATATAAACTATTAATAATGTACCTGCAGGTCCAGGGATGTATTTATAATGTAATGTATATAAACTATTAATAGTTTACCTGAAACTATACTGTTTTCTGTTGTAGGTCCAGGGATGTATTTATAATGTAATGTATATAAACTATTAATAGTTTACCTGAAACTATACTGTTTTCTGTTGTAGGTCCAGGGATGTATTTATGATAGTGCTCCAGCCAAATTGTCTTTCTTTGGAATTGCAAAAAGCATTATTTCTGTGACACCAGGAAATATTTTTTACAAGTACTTCATCAGTTTCTTTAGCACATTGTTTATGTACATGTATTCCTGTGCTTTATCAGTTTGGTTGGGTCAGAAGATCCTTGATAAACAACCATATCATTATAATCGTGTTTGGGATAACCTTATCGATGAGCCAGGCAAGCATCCACAGTTGTTTCTCTTTTCCAAAGCTGACGATTTGTGCCCTTATAAGACGATTGAAGACTTCATCCAGTGGCGAAAAAAGCATGGAGTTGATGTGACTTCCGTGTTATGGGAAGATTCAAAGCATGTCCGGCATCTAGAAGAGCATGAGGAAGACTACACCAGTCATATTGTGAACTTTTTAGAGCACTGCTTGTCTCATCAGAGAGAAATGTGCATTGAAAAAAAAGCAGATGAAGATGATTAAGTTTAAACGGCCATTTAGCTGATTCATTTCTGTTTGATGTTTCTTGAATTACATCCTGTTTGTAATAAAACAGTTCATGGTTGTGAGAGAATGTGTGTATTTCCCTCAGAATGTGAATTACTAGTCCAGGTTTTTACAGGTTTATTTTCCAAAAATACTTGTATAAAACCATTTTTTGGTGGTATAATCACTCGTGAAGTTTTGTAATCATACATCTCAATGAACTTTATTATTTCTTTTAAGTTATCCGAGTTTTTTTCTCATACAGTACTATTTCCATGATTACTGATCTTGCTACAAAGTAAAACATTAATCTTTCACAGTTGTATAAAATTCTATCACTTGGATTTTTGTGTTTATAGGATAGTGTATGAAAACTAATTATACAATGTTTATTTTTAGGTACACTTGCAATGTTTCAAATAGTTGTAGACGAGTACTTAACCATTTATGTTTTTCCCTTTTCATTAATATTTTTCTAATTTCATAAAGATTCTGTTATGTACGTGATATTTTGAACATTTTCAAATGTGCAAGCATTTGTACTTGTTATATATTGACAGAACTAAGTTTGCTGTATATTTACAATGTGATTAATGTATTTAAGAATCTCATTGATGTTGTGTTTAAACTATGGTCTATACTTTGTGTAGAATTGGCAAAGCATCGAAGCTTGCTTGTCATTTGTTTAGTTTAAGAATTCCAAAAGGGTGCACAATTCAATTTTTGCAAGATAATTGCATTATTAACTTAAGTGTTGTTTTTTAATTGTATATGATTATTTGCTAATGTTTCAAATCTAAAGATAAAAGAAATAGAAGCAGAGCTTGAAATTAACAGTGACTAGCTGAGTAAAAGATTGTAATTTTTAGTGTTTAGCCAACGGCCAACAAGTAACATTGGCATTTTTTGCCAGTTGATAATACAGGTATGATTATGAATAGTCAGACAATTTGTCAGTATTTATAACAGTTATTTAAAAAATGAAAAACTTTCATTAATGGGGGGGGGGCACACTATGATAATAATTTTCTATTAGTTTTGTTGAGTAACATGCTCATGCATTTTTCAAGTTGAATATAAAGTAAAAACAGTGCATTCAAGCAGTGTTTCAGCTTATTCTTTATTATATCCTTTTCTTCTTTTCTTATTAGGAAATTTATTTTTACAAACATATATCTAAAATGTGAAATATAAAATGTAACATTTCCTGGAAATTTATGTCAACTGCTTAGTTATATATATGTTAAGGACATGCAACTAATAAATCAACTGTTTAACTTTTTTTCCTCTAATTTGTTTTTGCCAGCATTGCTGGAATGTTTAAGTAATGTTTGAAGTGTCTGACAAACATTTGTCTGGGGTCAAAAATGTTACTTTCAAGCTCTGAGAAGAATGTGTAACAAAATGTCTAGTTTGTTGATGCATTTGGATACACAAATTAACTTAAAGCTATTATAGAGAAAAATGTGAGCAAAGTATCAATACAGTTATCAAAGAACTTCCTATACGTATGTAAGATGGTAAAAAATACCAAATGTTCATGTGCTTTTATATTGATAGTTGCATTATTTTAACAGTACCTATATTTTATCTATTCCATCTTAATTATCCTTATTAGTTCTTTGATATAACAGAAAATAAACTAGATGTTACCTGTTAACTTACAGATCAAAATGTTAAAAAGCTGAACATTTACTTCGTTGAAAGTTCATAAAAACCATCAGAACCATTTGTTGTGAAAAAGAAAAACTGAATGAAATGCTAAATATTTGATTAAACAAGCACAACTCTAAACAATCAATATTTTTTGGATTGTACATAGTTTTACTTTGAAATACAATTAAAACAAGGTGCCACTGAAGTGTTAAGATTCATTTGGAACCACCCTGTCTTTATGTTTAAAAACAAACAGAGCAATATGTATGTAAACAGTGTTATAAGGTTTGTGTTGTTACTTTATGAATTGGAAC